AAGGAGAAACAAAGGAAGAAGTCAGGTCCCAAGAGATTGAGAGGATCCTGAAAGAGTTCGCAGATGTGGCTAAAGCCCCAAGCGGTGTGGTGGAAAGACCAATCCGCCACCGCATTGATACCATTCCAGGGAGCGTGCCCCCGAAGGGGCCTATCTATCGTATGTCGCCCCAAGAATTGGATGAACTGCTAACCCAACTCGATGAGTTGTTGAAAAATGGTTGGATAAGACCTAGCTCCTCACCCTATGGTGCGCCTGTGCTCTTTGTGCCTAAAAAGGATAGCGGCGTTCGCATGTGTATAGATTATAGGAGATTAAATGACATAACCATAAAGAATGTTGAACCATTATCGCGAATAGACGATTTGCTGGATCGCGTGCAGGGAAGCAAAGTATTCTCAAAGATTGATCTAAAATCCGGCTACCATCAAATTGAAGTTGAGCCRRAAGACCAACATAAGACTGCCTTCAGGACAAGGTATGGGCATTATGAGTTCGTAGTTTTGCCCTTTGGTCTCACAAATGCCCCTGCCACTTTCCAAAGAACGATGAACGAACTCTTTCGTAATGGCTCGATAAATTTGTTGTGATTTATTTAGACGATATTTTGATTTTCAGCAAAAATGAAAAGGAGCATGCTGAGCACCTTCGACTTGTGCTAAATAAATTGAGAGAAGCAAAACTCAAGTTAAACCCAAAGAAGTGTGAATGGGCTAAGCGTCAGGTGCTATACCTAGGACATGTGATTGATGGAGATGGGGTCAACCGGAAGATGCCAAGATAGCAGCAATCAGAGATTGGCCGAACCCCCGCACCTTGACTGAGTTGTGGTCGTTCCTTGGGTTAGCCAATTACTATGGAAAGTTCGTAAGACACTTTACGATAATAGCTGCTCCCCTTCGCCGATTGCTTAAGAAAGAAGTAATTTGGAAGTGGGATTCAGACTGCACGATGTCCTTCAAGCGTATGAAAAAGTGTTTGATTATTTATCCGGTTCTCAAAGTGGCGGACCCTTCCTTACCTTTCGTGGTTACGACCGACGCTAGTCAATATGGTATAGGTGTTGTACTCCAGCAAGATGATGGGCATGGGTACAGACCTGTAGAGTTTATGTCTCGCCACTTACCTAACGAGAAGGTGACCGCTTCAACGTATGAACGAGAGTTGTATGCTTTGCGTGAGGCTCTCAATCATTGGCGACACTACCTTCTAGGAAGGCATTTTAAAGTACACTCTGACCATGAAACACTTTGCAGGCTCAAAACGCAAGCCCGAATGACAGTTGACAAGGTGGGCTGCAGAGATTGATATGTTTGACTTTGAGTTGAAGCCAGTCAAGGGTAAGTATAACGTTGTTGCCGATGCACTAAGTCGTAGATCAGACTTTTTCGGTGCTATTGTGACTTATCTAGATGTAGGTGGAGACCTACAAGAAAAAATTAGAAATGCGTATCCCTCTGATCCTGTTTATGGAGCCATGATTAAGCGAGTGCAAGAAAAGCCAGCAGAGTTTCCCGATCATAAAGTAACTCAGGGTCTATTGTTTGAACGAACTGACGTGCATGATAGGCTGTGTATACCCAATAATGAAGAGATCAAGTGTATGATCTTGGGGGAATGCCATGATACAGAAGGCCATTTCGGGTGGAAGAAAACCTATGGGACTTTATTGCGTTCCTACACCTGGCCTCGAATGAAAGCGGACTGTATCGCGCATGTGCAGGGTTGCCAAGTGTGCCAACGAAACAAAAGCACCATGCAATCGCCCCTCGGGCTACTTAAGCCCTTGCCTATCCCTACCGGCCTTGGAGACTCTGTCTCTATAGATTTCATGGATACTAAGGTGAAGAGCAGAAATGGGAAAACGCAAGTAATGGTCATAGTGGATAGATTTACTAAGTATGCTGTTTTTGTAGCCTTGCCTTCGGAAGCCAAGACTGAATTGGTAATTCGGGAATTCTTTAACCATTGGGTAAAAGACTTTGGACATCCCTTGACTATAGTAAGTGACAGAGATACTAGGTTCACAAGTGAACAATGGCAGCAATTGATGAATGTTTATGGCTCTAAGTTGACAATGTCATCAGGTAGGCATCCTGAGATTAATGGTCAGACTGAGCAGATGAATAAGATATTGCAGCAAACTTTGCGCATGTTCATTCGTCCCGATCAGATTAACTGGGATGAACATCTGCCTAAAGTTGCCAGTGCCTATGATAACTCTGTACATCTATCTACATGTAAGACTCCTATGGAGTTACATCTGGGATGGCGTCCACGCAGACCCATTGATCGATTGAACCCGGATCAAGTCCATAAGCTTCCTCTAGGAACTAGTGAATTTGCAGTCCAATATCAAAAAGACATTGAGAAGGTAAAAGAAAACATACTCAAAGCCCAGGATCGGATGATTGAACAAGCAAATAAGCATAGACGCCGGTCTCAATTTGCTGTAGGAGATTTGGTTTGGGTAAAATCTAAAGAGTTTGCTCCTGAAGAGAGCATCTCTCAAAAGCTTTTACCTGCCTACAGAGGACCTTGGCAGGTTCTAGACGTAATTGGAGATGTGGATGGTCCTTCGTATGTCATTGAGATTCCTCCTCATCTACGTACATATCCAGTGTTCCATGAGTCCAAGCTCTTACCTTGTGTAACGAATGAGCTCTTCCCAAGTCGCCGCTCAGCGATACCTCCAAGTATGGATGGGAAGTATGACGTAGATAAAATTGTTGCAGAAAGTACTTACCACACTGGACGTAGAGGCAGACCACAGCGACAGTATAAGGTACTTACCACACTGGACGTAGAGGCAGACCACAGCGACAGTATAAGGTGAGGTTTGCATACCAGGATCCTAGTGAAGATCGCTGGTTTACAAGAGAAGAGCTGTTAGATTCTGCACCTCATATTGTGTCTGCATACGAAAGCGCAAAGAGAGGGATTCATATCCTTGATAGGTAAATGATTCTCAGAGGACTTCGAAATTAGGCCGGCGAGAGTAAAAGGGCCTTTACCCGATGTAGGCCTCAGGCCTTGTAAGAGTAAAGCATTGTGAAAAGGTATCTCGCCAGGGCTCAGAAACGTGAAAGCAGG